ATACATATCTAACTTGCAAGTATTTAAGTTTCCTCCAGTAACTTCCACACACTCAGCTCCAAGCCCTGGCTGCTACTGACAAAGGTATTGTCTTAAGCTAAATACTTTACATGATTTAGTCATCAGACAAGAGAATTTACTTTTAAGTTGCATAAACATGCTTAGTACAGAGGCATTGACTTGCCCCTATCCCTTATTTTCTCCCACATCTCAGACTTAGTGAAGTTGCTTGCACAACTTAAACATGAGTTAAGTAGGCTGCATGGAGGAAGGGTTTGCTTTAAGACACTGATAGATGGGAGGTACCACTATTGGAAGAGAAAAGGAGGCCTGTGATTTATTGTAAACAAAAGTGTGGGGTTTTTCCAGTGAAAGCTCCACCTTGATGAAACAGCAATACAAATGAAGGTTCTGTACAAACTGCACCATTAAACATGTTTTCCAGGTTGTTCAAAATACCCACCACTCACTTTGCATCCAATAATCTCTGCCCAAAACCCAGTAGCATTTACAGTCAGATTTCTCCACCAAGAACATGACCACTTCATATTTGACTGCATTGCTGACTACAAATACTTACTAGCTCATGTTTGGATGACATTATAAAGTTAGAGACAATAATTAGTATTAGCACAGTAATTATTAAACTGAAAAGCTGATGTTTACAAAACAGTACACTTAACCCAAGCTGCATACTATTACATATGGTATGGAGAAATTACTTTACATTGGTCCTGTAGTTCAGTTTAATCATTCAAGGAATGCATTTAATACAGGATACCTATAGCAATTAACAGCCTTTCAAATACTTAAATAAAGCTTGGCCTTCTAATGCTGAAAATGAATTAAGGGGCCAGGATTTAGAAGTATACGGATGACTGCCATTAAAATTTTTTAAGGATCGATGTATTTTGTACCTAAAGCATTTATAAATTAAACAGTAACAGATAAGTATTGAGCACAGTATTAAGGTGTTTTATGGACATCCAGCTCTCTGTAATTGTGAACATAGATGTAAATCTGCGAAACAACAGGGATGCAGATTCAGGGTGGTACAGTGGTCATGCCATGTGGAGTGCCAGGATGAAATGGTGTTTATTTACTCACAACTTGAGACTGAACAGAGAATCACAGATGCTACAGCTCACTTAGGTTCCACTTCATTCCTAGCTGTTACTATCTCATAGGCTCCCATTTAAGCAATGTTCCATGACCCTGAACAGTCCAGCTTCTGTCCTACAGTTCAGGTCTAACTGGCTTACATCCTGCAATAGTTAAGAGGATTTAAGTACAAGTCTGTAGCTAAATTTAGAGGCACAATAAAGAGTCATTACTTTATCCACAACTATTACTTGTTTCACATGTCATACAGCAGATTGGTATGCAATGCAATCTTCCTTTTTTAACTGTTAGGATGTTTCTGCTATCAGTATTTTTTAAATTAATTAACTTCCAGTTCTCATGAAATAGCTTAGTCCACAAACTCCTTACTTCTCAATATTTGCTACAGCTTAACTTAGGTTAAAAGATTTCAACTGAAATACAAGAAACTGCAGGTTTTTTTAAACAGATGTTCATGTTGCTGCTAGACTATATACATGATTTTAAGAAATAACATTTAAAATTCTTGGCTTCCAACATGGTTCACTGTATGAGGACTTAATTGAAAAGTGTTGAACTACTTAAACATTCAAGATGTAAGCATGAGGTAACATGGTGTAAACACATCTGGTTTAAGTCTCATATTACAGCCTGTCAGTCCTAGAATAAAATTTAATTTTCCACAGTTTAAAAATTATTAATGTGCAAATTCTGCCATGCCAAGGTTATTAGTAAACTTCAATCTCACAGTTCAGTTTATTCACAACAGCAGCTTGGACTCAAGACACGTTATTTGCAGTAGTGGTGGTTCTTCATAAAACTACTTAGGATAAAAATGTTTTGTGTGTATTTCACAAGTGAGCAATGATTTTAACAGAATTCTGAGATGTTCCATCAGTTGATGTGGTGGCACAGTGAACACTTTCATCCTGTTCAAGATCTGACAAAGTGCACAGAACAATCAAGCATGCAGGGGTTTTGTTTCCATAACACAGCACTGGAACACCACAAGTGCTTCTGGCCTCTGCCCAATGATCCAGGGGCACGTTCATTCTTTGGGGAGGCCAGTCATACGGTACTGACTGAAGGGCAGGAGTCAAAGAGCCATTCATGAAATCTGAGTAAAGAAATGTCTTTGAAAAATGCCGCAGATTATTTTTATCAAATGTGGTAGGCCACCTCTAGTGGCAGGCATCAGTATTCTCTTCTGCTGGTGGAGAAGCTAAGAATCATTTGTATGGGAAATTTTCTTCCACAGTAAAGTTTTTAAGTTATTGAGTATTAAAGAATGCTCCATTTCCATCTGATTTGCTGTGACTTTAAGGGCAATACACAAGTACAGTTGTTTTTCTAGTTCTTCATGGATGTCAGAAGGAGCACCACGAAGCAGATAGTCTTTAAGTAGCTGACAGGCTTTTGCCAAGTTTGGCTGAATTACTTCTGTGGTACACCTCATTTTGCTTTGGTCACAGAGAGTTCTACAGTCTGTACCATAAATACAGTCCAAATCTGATTCACACTGACGATCTTTAATTATTTCCTTCAAATTCATTTCTGGCACAATTTTTCTCATGTCCATCATCTTCAAATCATATTTATCATTATATCCCAAGTTTTTGGCACTTGTATCACACATAAGAAAGTTTCCGTAAGGTCCATGGAAAATATCTTCCACAAATTCTAAAAGCCCTATAGCTATTTTTGCCTTTCTTGGCCACGATGGAGTAAACCATTGGTCCATGTTTCTTCTGAAGCTGGAGGGAATGAAAAGTTCTATAATCCATGGAAGGCTGATTCCATAGAGGGAGGTATATTCAACTCTTTCGGTCACATAGAGGTCCCCACAAAATCCCATCAGTTTGGGAGTATGTTCTTTATCCTGCAAGATCACCATTAGCAGAAACTCATCTAGCTGGAGAAGTGCCCATGCAGATTTCGCCTCTGGCAAAGAAACTCTACCATCTTTGTTTCCATCAGCAAAAGACAGGATGAGATTAACCAATTCTGAAAGGTTTCCTTGTTCACCCAATTTTGCCTAAAAGCAACAAATGAAAAAGATTAAGTATAATGTCATTAACTACCATGAATTGACCTGTCATTCTGCCTCCTGTTTTTCTCCTTCTCTGGACAGTATGGTAGGGTATGTTATGTTCTAGTTTTCATTGATTATAGATGTTACAGGACTTGCTACCAGATGCCTGACGAGCTTCCTTTTTGTTCTGTTTTCAGAGGCACTAAGTATATGATCTTCTGAAAGCACTAGTGTTCTTTGCATGTCAAAATGCAAACATTACAATTCAAACATTGTTCTTGTTCAGATCAGTCTTTAGAAAAATCATATCAAGTAGCTTGTTAAGTATTCTCTTAGAAAAAGTATGTAGAATTCAAACGTTTAGATCAGGTTTAGTTTTCAGCTGATTAAACCTTACAGGTGTAGAGAAATTACAGTATCAACTACATTTTGGCCAACTATAAAAAGTACCAAGACACACTGAGTACAAATCCCATATGATAAGTCTACTGAAGTACTGAAGTTTGTTGTTTGATATAACCAACTCAATTGTATCAACACAGAGAAAGAAGCCATTGCTGTAATCAGAACTGTTGCATTTTCAGCTACAACCAAGCACACAGTCAGATAAACTTTTCCCAAATTCTCCTAAAAAAGACTCTAAAACACCTGCTGCTCACCTATTCTTACAGACAAAGCTACTGTAATGCATGACAACTGTCACCAGCTTTACATAATTATGTTATAGGCGTGTGCCTGTATACACATACGCTCACTCAGCTAGAACAGCGTTATTTCCATCACTGGAGACATAGGAGCTACAACAAGAGCAAGAATTTTAAGAAAGAAATTCCAAAATCAGTATTGACACAGCATCAAAGTGATTCTATTAGGAAAATTCTGGGGTAGCATTAAAGTAATAGAAGCAAGTATCACATTAATATAACAGAGAGAGAACTGGGAAAAGTATGGCTGCTCGTTCTGGTTAGATTACTGCTGCTCAGTTAACATAGTAACTCTTCCTTTCAAACTATGCTTCAGTCTTTGTATCTGGTTACAATAACCCCAAAAGCAGCAAAAAATATATATTTTAATAATATTTTCTATAAAAATGCAAGTGAAAGCTGTAGACGTGCAGGATGCATACCAGCTTCCATCTGTTAAAACATAAAGGAAAAACCTGGTAATTAGTCACCTCAAAATTTGAGATAAGCACTTCTGGGAAAAACTACTTTTGTGCTGATTATTTTTCTAACATGCACTTGAACAAGGCTCATACAATAGGTCATTCTCTGTAGCTGCAGGAATATAAGCCTTTCTATCAAAATAGAATAAATAAGCATACACTTACTTTAAAAAGACCATATACCATTTCTTTGAATTTCTCAACAGTGGTTCCTCTTGTCGGTTTATCAAATAGGGCTATTTCCTTCCTGGGTTCTGGATCAGTACCAAAATCGAGTTGAGCAGCTTCTTCCATCTGGCATTTTATAACACCTTGCAGATTTCCCCAGATTCCTAAATATATCTATGCAGGAAACGAGGGGAAGAAGGTAAAAAACACTACAGAAGTCCATCATCTGAAGCCCGCCTGTACTTTGACCACTGCTTCAAGAGTCAAGTAACAACAGAGATTAGAAAGCCGAGTCCTGCATACAGGCAGTGCACGGAGTGCACGCAAACAATGGCGACTTCAAATACAGTACAGCACTGCAGGCACACAGGAGATGCTGCTCTGTCCACATACAAAGCTTGACAAACAGTATATTGGCATGCCTGGCATCTGTGCATAGGTTGTTAAGAGGCTGCTTTGTGTATTTGGGGAGCAGGGTAGCAGAGAAGGAGTATGCTGTATGGAAGTATGAGTATTCAGTCAAAACGTGGAAGGATCTGATATATATATATATGTTTATAAAATATATGTAATATAAAATAATAATATATCCCTCTACATATTGGAATAATATGTAGTATTATATACAGGTATATTATATATAGGTGTGTATTGTATATAATATATTAATAATATATAGTAAACATAGACATTCTGTCTATATAGGTATATTATATATATAACCACCCTGCATGTCACAACAAATACAGTTTGAAATAATCTGTATCAAACAGATGCAGCTTGCAGACACTAAGGTCTTCTTGATGTTCTAAAGAATGACATTTCAGTGGGAAATAATTAGACTAGGTTGGATGAGTAAAGCCTTACCTGGTTATTGGGCTTGGTTGACAAACATTTTCCAAAATACAATGTTTCTTTAGCACAAAGACTGCTACATGCTGACCCATCAATAACGCCAGTCTTGTATTTATCACACTGAAACAAACAGGGACAAAAATATTTGACAAACTGCCCAAGAAAGGAGGCAACAACTGTATCTCTCCCAACACCTGACTCTTGAAAGAAAAATCTAAGAAAACTTTTAATAACCCTATACCAAAACAGTGTTAAGAAACATAACTGGTTTTATCTGTAATTGAAGATGTAATCTTACTTCAACATGCTGGAATATCAGAATTTGATTAATTTATATGTGGCACTGACTGAATTGGCTGTGGAATTAGTCAGGACAAACACTTGAGAAAGCTATGCTAAATATACTTACTATTATTTTCCTACAGTCATGTCCTCTGCATAGTTCTGTGTAGGTGGAGTATTGAACATACATAACCCAGCTGCCAATAAATACTACTAACCAAGAGATGAAGAGATACTTCATCCGCATGTATGAGAAACGTACCTAGAGGACACAAAGAGAAAATATTCTTTGCAATTCATTCAGC